ATCAAGTAGTTGTACTTGGAGGTCGTGATGAGGATAATCAAGTTCTGAATGATGTTTTCATGTATGACTGCAAGACGGGCAAGATCACAGCCTTACCATCCATGTTGGAGAAGAGAGACACCTGTTGTGCAGTTATTACTGGAAATACAATTGTAGTCATGGGAGGTGAGAGTTATGATGATCTCAGGTCTGTGGAGTGTTTTACAATGGGAGATTCTACATGGAAGTATCTTCCCAGCATGAACGAAGAAAGGTCCAGAGCAGTTGCTGAAGTTCTACCCTCAACTAGGAAGTATGTGTAATTTTGACATTTAACGTTTCTCCGTCAATTGATATTAGATTGTTTCATTCAGAGGTGAAATTCTACGCATTTTCCTACCTAGACTGCCTACTGTAAGCTGGGATTTCTGACTAAGGTAAAGTAATATGAATAACAAAGTTTCTCCAAGCAACATGCAAAAACTGATTCCAATGCCATGTTACAACAAAAATGTTTTTTGCATATTTTCTCGTCCCATTTAGCTAAGTTGCAGTTAAGCTCAGACAATTTCTTTAAACCACCCTTTGTTGCAGTTGAAGCCATTGACATTGTGTTGTTCGTATTGCTATGTACCTTGGCTCAAACAAGCGAACATACTGGAAATTGATATTTTTTTTCTGTGTCGGTGTTGTGTACTCAGGTGAATATGATGTTTGTGATGTTACTCTGAGTGTATATCCACACCCGGCGGGGAGAGCTTGAAAAATATGCCCGAATATACCAAAGGTCGTAGGTTCGATTCCCACCGTGCCCAGGCATATTTTTTAAGCTCGCCCGGTGTGGATATACACTCAGAGTAACATCACAAACATCATACTGGAAATTAATGTAATTATTTTAAAGTTAAAAACTATTAGTAATACAAGTTTACCGTTAGAAAAGGCTTTGAAAAGTTTCGCTAATCCATATAGCTTCACTATGGCCTGTCGAAGGGAAGATGGCTGTGAAACTCATTAGAATAACAATATAACTCGTACGGAAGTTCGAGAAATGAGATAAACAAAACTAAGGACTTTGACATGTTGCCCAACAAAGATTTAATTATGTATTGTATTATGTTTGCTGGTTACTTTCCACTGACCTAAGTTTGGGACCGTGGAAAAGGTGACCGCGTAGGCCTAATTGAGGTGACCGTTCAATAAAGGTTACTTGAATAGTATTTATATTATGAAATTTTCGTGACTTTGCCACATGACCACTTAACAAAGGGTGACCGCTTAATACGGTGCCGCTTAATACAGGTTCGACTGTATTAGTTTTTTAAAGTTTTTAGGGTGGACTACTAGAAAAGCCCTGACGGGCTTGTTAGTCTTCCTTCCATATGAATTGTATCTTTATAGAGGACAAGTTGATGACAACCACCTGTTCCGACCTTCATCTCGTGTACACAAACCTGGTGGTGGGTCCTCTTTTTCATTAGAGTAGAAAACTTACTTGTATTTATTTCGCAGTTGTTGATGAATGTCGTAGAGTTAATTGTAGTAAATTTGAGGCATTGTTTGCAAATTATTTTTGTTGTTAGATAGCTTTTTCTGAAGGGGGGATTTGTCTTTGTGCTGCATGATTGATTAGGTCTTACACATGCAAGAACGCACAAGTTGTTACAGGTCTGCAGACAAGTTGTTACAAATCCGTTCGCAAGCTGTCAACAAGTTGTGTTCACAGTTGTTGTAACAAGTGTGGAACAAGGTAACCTTGATGGCATTATCGGATTTGTGGAAAAGTTGTTCTAGCAAGACTGATACAGTCATGATATAACATGAATGCTACAAGGTTGATGACACAAGGTTGTAACAATATTGTTATGTCATGACTGTGTCGGACTTGTTGGAACAATATAGCAATATTAAAGGAAAGCTTGTTAAAACTGGATGGGAAAGTGGAAGCAGTGAAAGAAATGGACAAGATGGTAAATGAAAAAGTAGAAGCTGTAAGGGAAGAAATGAAAGACAATAACACTGAAGTAATGAAAGAAATAAAAGATATGAAAGAAAATCTTTCCAAAGTGAACAAAGATTTAGACGAAGTCAAAGTCATGATGAGTCAAATGTTAAAGAAGGTTAATATGCTTGAACTGCTCAGCAAACTGCCATCTCCAAGACTCCAACCGAGGGAATGTTCAATACACCTAGGGAAGATATTTTGATTGCTGCTGGCTGGGGTGCGGGATACAGTGCAGAAGTATTTTCCTGGGAGAAAAATGGTTGGTATGAGTTTTCGCAAATGAATGACGGACATATCGGAGCTTCATCATTTATTTATAATGATCAACTATTTGTTGTTGGGGGATGTACTGAGACAATACAAACCTTGGATCTCAATGAATTACCTTTGAAATGGATGAAATTTTCTGACGGACTTCCTTATGAAAGTGGTCATCAAACTGTTGTTTACCAACAGCGTGTCATTCACATTGGTGGATATAATCTTGACGAGGATAAAGAGTCTAACTTGATTAGTGAATTGCAACTTACCTCACTTTGCACACTGAAAGAGTTGTACCAAATGCCCCAGCTACGAGTTTGTCATGGAGCTGTGGCTTTTGAAAATAAAGTCTTAATAAAATAACGCTCAACAAACTGCCATCTCCGGCCAAGGGAATGTTCAATACACCTAGGGAAGATATTTTGATTGCAGGTGGCTGGCGAAGTGGTGCGAAACATAGTGCAGAAATATTTTCCTGGGAAAAAAATGGTTGGTATGAGACAGTGAACTCTAATAAAACTGGAACGCTAACTCGACCGCCATCTTTGAAGCTAAATTGAAGGAGGTTTTTCTGAGTTTTGAGCCGAAATACTTGACGCCAAACGTTGGTTTATATGTCAAACTGAAGCTATTGAAAGGCGCTATTTCGTGTAGAAATTTCACGACTTTAGCTAAAAGGGAAGTATCTTAAAAATATTTCAGATATTTGATATTTTTTGCCGATTGGCAGTTGTTTTTGTATTTTTTAAATATTTCCCTTTTAGCTGAAGTCTTGAAATTTCTACACCGAATAGAATTTTTCAACAGCTTCAGTTTGATATATAGCCCAACGTTCGGCGTCAAATATTTCTACTCAAAACTCAGAAAAACTATTTCAGCTTCATGCAATCATAGGGCTTGATCATAGGAGTTATCGTTCCAGTTTACTTATAGTTCAATGGTATGAGATGGCGGCAATGAATGAAAAACATCAAGGAGCGTCATCATTTATTTATAATGACCAGCTATTTGTTGTTGGGGGATATGGTACTAAGACAATAGAAACCTTGGACCTTGCACACTGAAACAGTTGTGCCAAATGCCCCAGCCACGAGATTGTCATGGCGCTGAGGCTTTTGAAGATAAAGTCTTGATCTTGGGAGGAGAAGATGATGATGATGATGTTTTAGACAGTGTGTTGGAGTTTGATCCAAAGAAGAATGAATGTAAGGAGCTGCCATCATTAACACATCCCATGCAGGAAATGGCATCGTCAAGTTCAGAATGATGTTTTCATGTATGACTGCAAGACGGGCAAGATCACAGCCTTACCATCCATGTTGAAGGAGAGATATGAATGTTGTGCAGTTATTACTGGAAATACAATTGTAGTCATGGGAGGTAAGAATGAAGATTATGATGATCTCAGTTCAGTGGAGTGTTTTACAATGGGAGGTTCTACATGGAAGTATCTTCCTAGCATGAATAACGAAAGATCTGGAGCAGTTGCTGAAGTTCTACCCTCAACAAGGAAATATGTGTATGTTTGACATTTAACGTTTGTCTACAAATATATATTAGATTGTTTTGTTCAGAGGTAAAATTCCACGCATTTCTCAATCTAAGCTGAGATTTCTGACTGAAGGTAAAGTAATACGAATAACAAAGTTTCTCCAAGCAACATGCAAAAGCTGATTGCAACGCCATGTTACGATCAAAATGTTTTTGCATATTTTCTTGGCCGTTTAGCCAAGTTATGTCCAAACAATTCATTTAAACCAGCCTTTGTTGCAGTTGAAGTCATTGTGTTGTTCGTATTACTATGTTCCTTGGCTCAAACAAGCAAAAGTGCTGGAAATTAATGTAAGAATTTTAAAGTCAAAAACTACTAGTAATACAAGTTTACCGTTGTTAGAAGTAAAAACTTTAATATTGGGGAGCTGGAACTTCCTTCCATATGGATTGTATCTTTAGAGGACAAGTTGATGACGACCAGCCGTTCTGACCTTTATCTCGTGTACACAACTCTCCTGTTGGTGGGTCCTCTTTCTCATTAGGATAGAAAATTTTATACTTGTACTTATTTAGCGGTTGTTGATGAATGTAGTGGCTTTAATTGTAGTAAATTTGAGGCATTGTTTGCAAATTATTTTTGTTGTTAGATAGCTTTTTTCGAAGGGATTTAATGTTTTTGTGATTGATTAGCTCTTACACACGTAAAAACGCACAAATTGTTACAGGTCTGCAAACAAGTTGTTACAAATCTTTTCACAAACTGTCAACAAGTTGTCTTCACACTGCTTGTTCCCAGTTGTTGTAACATGTTTGGAACAAGCTGTTAACAACTTGTAACAAGGTTGATGGCATTGACATGTAGCAATTATCAGACTTGTTACAACGTTGTTCTAACACGGTCTGATACAGTCATGATATAACAAGAATGTTACAAGGTTGATGACACAAGGTTGTAACAATATTGTTATTTCATGACTGTAATCGAACTTGTTGGAACAACCTTGCAACAAGTCTGATAATATCAACAAGGTTGTTACAAGTTGTTAACAGCTTGTTCCAAACTTGTTGACAGCTTGGGACAAGCAGTGCGAACACAACTTGTTGGCAGACTTGCTACAATATCCACTTCATTGTGGTGACTCGATTGTATGTCCATTTTTCTTAACAGTTGGGAAGATACCCACTTAAGTGTGGTGACCCCATTGTATGGGGGGGGGGGGAGCAGAGGCTTTACACAAGTATGAAAAACATAAAAATATTTAAAAAAACAAAGAACTAAATACGCGTTGGCAGGCTTTGACTGTCCATGTCTGGCTGTTTGATTCTAGCTGTCCTATAGGCATGCTGATGAGCTCTGACATTGAGCGAAACAGTCAAAATTTAAATATTGTGAATGAGGTTTTCCTATTTTTGTGTTAATCTTTATTGTTGTCTGAAATATGCTAAAATATCAAAAAAAAATTTCTTCATTAGGTCAAGCTATTTCCTGAAATTTGATGCTCAAATTGCTAAAAATAGCGTTTCTGGGAGTCTACATTTCAAAATTTATCCAAGGGGGATTGTATGACCAGTTAATTTTTAATCCAAGCTAGGTTCGCCACTAGTGCTGTTATTTTTTATTATCAAGCCGTATAAATTGACGATGCTCTTGAGAGCGCATTCCAAATGGTTATTCGTTGTAAAAATGTATCAGTCAATGTCAACTACATTTACTAGCATTTCTTTTTCTTCCTCGCAACTTCGTGATTTTCGAAAAAATTTACAGGATATTCCACAACATTTTCTTTTTTTCTCGAAGCCAAAAAAGCGAATAAATTATTATTCCCTCTTCGAGAATGTAGGAAATCCTCCCTACCTCCCGGGATTGGGCTGACATACCCGCCAAAGATTTTAGGAAATTAGGCCAATACTTGAATACGTTTCGTCAGTCAGGGGAGAAATCCCGAAATATCCGGGCTCGAAACAGAAATTGAACGCGTTCAACAAAGAAGCCTGAGAATCCTAGCACTGGAGAAAGATGGTGATTGCTAGATAGTATACTTCAAAATAAGGTTTTCGTTTTTATAACGTAGAAAAAATTATCCTAACGCAAAACTAAACCGTAACATTAACCCCAACCCTAACCTAATCCTAACTTATTTTTAAAATCGATATAAAAACGGAAACCTTATTTTGAAGTATATACTATCTAGCAATGGACCATTTGCATTATAGACTAAATTTTGGTCTAGTCAAAAATTTCATCACAACTTGAAAGAGCATAACAAAATTAGTAATATTTCAAAGTTTCGTTGCAAAATGTTGTAAAATGCGGATAATATAGCCTTGCCGATTGGCGTAATACAAAATGACTGAAAAACGGCAAACTTCGCAAGGCTATATTATCCGCATTTTACAACATTTCGCAACGAAACTTTGGAATATTACTAATTTTGTGATGCTCTTTCAAGCTGTGATGAAATTTTTGTCTAGATCAAAATTTAGTTTATAATGCAAATGGTCCATTACTGGAGAAAGATACCCTCTCCACATTAAGAGTAAGAAGGGAAAACGCAACATGGGACAAGCTGAAAAGAATCGTGGAAGTCCTAAATAACCCATGCATAATAACCGTTATCTAGCCATCAGAAATAATCAAACTTACGAACTAAAGAGGACTAGAAACAACTTTCCAAGACAGTCCTCAAAAACATACAGCTATACACACGCAAAAATCTCACATCTTGTAACAAGTTTGCCAACAAACTGTCAATGTATTCGCACTGCTTGTCAAAGTTGTCAACAGGTTTGGAACAACTTGTTGACAACTTGTAACAACCTTGTCGAATTATCAGACTTGTTGCTTGCAAGACAAGTCCGTTACATGTTCTGACAAGTCCGTTACATGCTTGAGATAACAAGATTGTTACAACCTTGTGTGAACAACCTTGTAAAATCCTTGTTATATCATGGCTGTAACAAACTTGTTAGCACAGTCTTGTAACAAGGCTGATAATGCCATCAAGCTTGTTACAAGTTGTTAACAGCTTGTTTCAACAAAGTGGGAACAAGCAGTGCGAACACACAACTTGTAGACAGCTTGTGAACAGATTTGTAACAACTTGTTTGCAGACTTGTTACAAGCTGTGCGTTTTTATACGCGTGCAATACGTCTTTTATTTCAAGAGCGTGGACATTATCAAATTCATGAATGATATGACTTTTACTGTATGTTGTATTTAAATAGTTAATAACCCCCGAATCTTTAAAATGGGAATCGAAAAACCCCCGAATCTTTAAACTGGGAATCCAAAAACCCCAAAATCTTTAATTAAACTCGGAATCGAAAAACCACCGAATCTTTAAACTGGGAATCGAAAACCCCCGAATCTTGAAGCTGGGAATCGGAAAAACCCCGAATCTTTAAACTGGGAATCGAAAACCCCCCGAATCTCTAAACTGGGAATCGAAAAAACCTCCAATCTTTAAACTGGGAATCGAAAAACCACCGAATCTTTATAATCCGGAATCTAAAAACCCCCGAATCTTTAAGACTGTTTTCAGTCCAGGTTTTACAGGCTACGGCTAGCTTTTTTAAGTCCTGGTTTTACAGGTTAAACTCGGAAAACCCCCGAATCTTTAAAATCCGGAATCGAAAACCCCGAATCTTTACGGCTTTTTTCAGTCCAGGTTTTACAGATTACGGCTTTTCTCATTCCGGGTTTTACAGATTAAGGCTTTTCTCATTCCGGGTTTTACAGATTAAGGCTTTTCTCATTCCGGGTTTTACAGATGGGCATTCCAAACCCCCAAGGGAGTTCAGACCAATGCATGCGTTTAGCAGTAGCCAATGATAGCAAATCTTTCGGAAGCTAAACCAATCAGAGCTCGTAAAAATCTGACAAAACAAACAATGGTGTGTGGTTCACGGCTTTATACGTATTCCGTGGCAAATTTGAATATTTCTGCTCGAGGCTTCAAAGTTGAGAGAGCACACAATGAAAGTTACTACAACCAAACTTCGCTTTTATGAAACTTATTCGAAGTGAAATCGGTATACCTTGCAGAGGGAAAGGTCAGTATTAAATTTAGCTATTTTTAAAACGTTTTTGAGTTGTTCTTGTTAAGTTCCAGTTGCTTTTCGAAGCTCGTGTGTAGAATATATTCATTGTATTAATATGTATTGAATTGAAGCGCTTCGTTTCGGCGCTTAGTCGCTTTGTTTCTTTGGTGTTTCTCTCTCATTTTCTAGCAGTTGTGTTCAGAAATACCCCAGCTTTGATTTATTTAACTCATATTTAGTTTATTTACGATTTCAGGGCGAAAATTTGAGGAGAAAGTGAACTAATTTAAGTCGCCGACATAGTCGAAAAGGCGAAATCCTTGGTAAGCATAATGTCCACTAAAGGCGTTTCCTTCTTGTTTTTTTTTTAACTTCCCTTATACACCTAGAACGTCTTCTAGTAAAGCCTTGTACCTTGATGAACATTCTCTGTCAAATTTAGTTAAAATTTTGTCCGTACAGAGCGAAATGGCGACTCATTTTAGGCATGTTCAATTCGACATGCATTTTAAACATTTTAGCTTCTACAAATTTGTCGTTTATGTACAATTTGTACTCGCAGGGATAGCTAAGCTTTTTGAGTTTTTGAGGTTGTCTTAGTTGAATTTAACCCAAATCTTTTTAAGAAGCCCAGAGATGAAATGCCCTCGTGGTTCATGCCCTAATTTTATGCATACATACACGCATTCTTTAAAATTAAAATGAATCGAATTGGACAACCACACCCTGTGTAAACGACATTAAATAACTCTTCACTGTTAAAACTAAAATTGATTATCAAACTTTTTTAGTTTGCCTCAAGTTCGATTGTTTTGACGCCAAACAGTACAGAAAGACCTCTGCGCAGATTTGAAGAGAATTTCGCCTAGCAGTCGAAGGAAAACGAGATCAGAAGACAGGAAGGCAAAGGCTGAATGAAGACTATCATCAGCTAACCCACAGCATTCATCGTCGCATTTCATTTGTCCCAAGTTTGGAAGAGACAGTAAAATTTAATACCATAGTTTGGTGACGGAATGCTCCAAAGCAAATACACCCATCATCAGATTTCGCTCTGTCAGCCTATTGTGAATGGGTGCCATGACCTGTCAAGCCACGACGCGACGCCGTACCATCCAGAGATTCTAAACAATGCTCTGCACCATCGTTTACAAGAATGGCATGAGGGATTGTACATTAGAGAAGGTATATCTCGTCATTAGAGAAGGTATATCTCGATCACCCTGAGGACGCCCAAATGCACAAACCAAATTTAAATATGGCACCTTTTCCTTAACTTCGCAATTTATTCAAATTTTTCACATTTCTTCGTATTTTGTGACAAGCTCTTAACGAAATCGAAATGTTTGAAATTCGGAAGGTTCTATCTGGGAGTTTGTTTATTTGAAAGATATTTGAAATGAAATTTTGAAATTTACATCACTTTGGTATTCGGTTTAAACACTATAGGTAAAATCATGCCTGATGAGTGGCCGGCCATTGGTCGAGGTTCGGTGGTACTTCGGCTCGGACTTCCCCGACCTACAGTCGAGTTGCTCTGATCGATTGTCGTGATCAACTAGCACAGGTGCAAGATCTGGCCAACCTTACATCAGTGCTTTTTGTTCGTGGCATGAGATTGGGGCAGCTCGCTTGTAGGCCTGGAAAGATCAAGCGGAAGTACCATCAAACTGTGATTTGTGGCCGGCTTTTTGTCTGTATGGCTTTACCCAGCGTTTTCCCGTTATCATTTTGATGCAGATTTTGGGATTTTGGCTTGAATATCTTTAATATAAACATTCTTTGAGGTATAATCTTTCAAGAATTTCATGGGTTTTGACTAGTTAAGGTGTTGCTCGCAGATATATAATTGTATTAAAAAAATTTAACCAATAAAATTTAAAACTGATCAAAACGTCATTTGAGGTGTCAGATGGGAGGTCCAGTGGGAGTCGTAGCGGATATCAATGGATAAACACGGATTACTGTTAACTATTGGAGATAGATACTGTGAACGTTAGTGGATTATTATGAACATTGATGGATTACAACGAACACTTCAGGATTATTGTGAACATTTTGGATAAAATGTACCTCGCGATCGACGGTTAACCTACCAATGTACCTTGATGACGAAAGCTGCACGACGGCAACGAGAGGACTGCCTCAAGGTTAGAGTATTAGTCTGATAACAAGCAGTAGTTAGTTTGTTATCAGGCAGTAGTTAATTAAGGGTTAGCCTGCTATCAGGCAGTAGTTACCCAGGACTCTAATTTGCATGTGTTTGGTGACGTCTCTGGGATAAACCGGTTTAAAAAACCTGGCGGTCTGTCGTTAGTTGTACATTTGCACACAAGGTTGACTTTTATTCAGATGTTTGCATGCTAATAAAAAATGAGGTACAATTCTGACCTCAGTTAATCAGAATTTCGACATCGTCTGCAATCGAAAGTCAATCTTAAGAGGTTAACATTTGAGCTTCCGGTCACGTGGTTCGTTGCATGCACTCGGTTCGGTTATTGGTGGGTTTCAGTAAGTGTTACAATCCAAACGATGGTCAATGTCAGAAATGTTGACAGTTCCTGAGCAATTTATTTTGCTTCAAATACAAGACTACTACTTAAAGTAAAAAAACAGTGAACATTATTTTCTCACTCTAGTAACTCGTACTGAAACCCAATGTTCGTGCCAATGTTCTTCTCTTTGTGTAAATGTACTGCTTAGGTGTCTCCGTGTCTGTGCATGGATAAACGCAGCGCGCAACTAGTATCCAGAATATAGGCAGACGAGTAAAACCTTGCCAGACTTAAAAATTTTGTTTATATCGATATGTTATGTTCATAAATGTATAGAAATATCATGAAATGTGTTAGGCTTTGGCTTGGGGTTAAATCTAACCCTATAACCTTAACCTTAACTCATTACATTATCTGTATATTTGTGTATGTAATATATGGGTGTAGCTAAAATTTTGTTGAAAAGCTGGCATAGTTTTCCTTGGATAGGATAACTAAACTGGGTGCAAATGGTATCCATAGCTTAGAGGGTGCAAATGGTACCCGTAAGAAGATTTGGTGGATATCGTTGTGGATATTTTTGGACAAGATAAAAAGATCAGTTTAAGACTGTAATGACATGATATTGTAATGATAAATAGTCTAGGCTTTAGTAAGTAAAGATAATAAATTGGCGGTATATTGTCTTGGAAAGTTGTATCTTTCATCGCCCGTAGTGCATGTATATCGCTGGTTTCGAACGTTAGTTTTCTGCCCCGGGTTATATGAAAACAGTTCGCTACCAGAGATTAGGTCCCCTCTCTGTTATGGCGGCTCGACGATGGAAGAAATTAATATAAGGCATGCAAACCTTACCCCTGTTTGTGGAAGCTCACCAGGTGCGATGGCACACTAGGTTAAGTTAAGCTAGGGGCATGACCGAGACTCCACATTCGGGGGTTTCCCTTACAGGTTTTTGAAAGGTTATATGCGCGCGCGCACTAGTTAGGAAGGTTAGGCAGCTAGAAATAGGGCGTTTTCGCTTCTCTTTGCATGTATACTATAAGGCATGTATACTATGTAATTCATATTATCGTCTTACTTTTGCGCCAGTAACTTTCTGTGAAGTATCTAACACAACAGGAAAATGGATTCTGTTTCCCTGCTGAAAAATACTTACAGAACCAACTCAAAGTGGAATTGAAAAAAAAGGAAATATTGCGAAAAAGAGAAAAATAAAAATAAAACCGCGAAGCCACTTTGAATTTAAGCAACAATAGTCCAAGAATACTCGTTGCAGAAAAAACAACAAAAAAGAAACAATTTTCTGCCTAAAATATCTTGGATTAGGGGCTTAACGATAAGAAACGTAGTTCTCGCTCCAAAGTGGAGAATAGGCTCGTTTCTTTAGGTTGCTAATGCGTTGCGCGCGTGTTTTATAAATTGTACTATAAGTTTTCAGTTGAAAAGACCGCCAGGGAATATAGGGTGTTTTCATGTGTTGCTTTGTTGACGGACAAGTTTTCAAAATAATGGTTTTCTTGTTTCCTTGTATTTCGACACTTTAACTTGTTCCCAAACATAGCCGCCGTGAAAACACCCTGCAGATCAAGTTTATATATGGTCGCAATAGCAATATAGAATGTTTGCCATGTTGCATTCCGTGTTGTCTTGCATTGTTCATACATGAGCTTGGTCGAACCATGGATCATAAAAACACCATGGTCGAACGCAGCTAATTAACATAAGCGGCGCGCGCGTGCTGCTGTAATGCGGAGTACAGTCAGTGAGTGTACTCCATGTGCAAATAGTGAAGTGTGCTCTATATAGTCTAGACTTGAAACAAGGGCTCATGCGCAACGTTTCATGCTTATTAAAATTAAACGCGCTAACTTGCATGCTAAGTAAAATTAAGGGCATGAAAATCAGTGCATGCTATATTTAAATTGAGTGCGCGCGTTGCAATTTTCTTGCGCGCGAAAGCAAAATGCGCCAGAAATCCAAATATATAGAAATGCACACATCACATCTTCAAAATGCATCCAATTGTCCTAACACCTTCTACAAACTGTCGTAAAATCTGTTGGGCTGTTGGATTCATTTGCCACGCACCTTGTCCTGAACATATTTGAAATATTTTCAAGTTTCAAGGTCAAGATAAATATACTCTGATGTGGAACAATTTGTTCGTAAAAAGGTATATTAGTCTTGCGCAATTTGTAGACTGAATTTTCGGGTGGTCTACAATGATTTTTTTGAACATCTTGAGAGATTTCTTAAAAGTGTTTTTTGCAAGATTTTTACTTCTCTGGATTTTGGTAGGTATGGGTAGGTATGGTATACTATAGTTAATTCGGTTGTGTAAGTGGGCGGGGTTTTCCCTGCGGTTTTCGGTATCCGGACTCATAATCACCAAGGTTTTTCACCAGATCTCACCATGCACAGCAACCGTGCATGGCACTTCTGGTTTTCCTCGGGTGATTATGCATTTTTTCATTTGGCAAAATATCTAAAAATTCCAAAAACAAAAAACAGTGTCCGTGTTCGGGACGAATTTAGTACTGTATAGGAAAAAAAGGATTATATAGCTGTTGTATATTTTCACGTTCGTCGTTGAGTGCATGTGTCTTTATATTCTGTGAATGGAGTTGCATTCTCTCAAATATATGCAGTAATTATATATATTACATCGTTACACCCCATTTTCCATCTTTTGAATAAAAAAGTGGTTTGCAAAGGGGGAGCCATCTACATTACTCAGGCATATGTTATTTTTCTCAACCATGTATTGTAAGTAATTTACAATGGATCATTCCAGGAAACATCCATACCTCCACACAGAGGAAATTAAATTAACCCCTCAACCCTCTTCGAATGTCCTAGTACACTTTTAAGTGAAGCCTTAAAAGGCTAATTTCCACTCCGGAAAATTATCCGTGGATTGGAACGGACAAGAAAATTTTTCTTTGTGTTAAAGTCATTAGTTCCAACCCAGAGCTCACAAGACAGAGAAAAACTTTCTTGTCCGTTCCTAATTTTCCTGAGTGGAAACTAGCCTTTACTGTTATCAGAAACAACCTTTTCTCCACTCCCCTTCGGATAGCGGAAATTTCCTCATTGGGGATAGGGTTGACTTTTCTGGAACGACTCAATTTAACTGAAATAGAAAGTTACAGATAATAAAATAAAATTTTCTAGCCAATATAATACCAGACAAATTTCCTGATCTACTGGTATAGGCACTGATTTAGTCTCGAAAATTGCGACGACACAGTACTTGTTCGTTTCCGGGTTGAATTCCCAGAACACTGTAAAGTAGTTACCAAAAAAGTAATGTTCGTACTTTATTGACATATTCTCGCAAAAGCTCCATTAGGAGGAACCGCTTATTATTTACGAGGTCACATTTTAATTTCCAATCATATGTTCTAGCCCAATCAAGTTTCAACAATAATCTTAAAAGAACATCCCTGACCAGCTGTTTGAATCACCCATGTTCGAACTGAATTTGTGTCCAAAGCCTTGGGGGAGAGGGGCGCGCAACTTCCCCACCTAAAGTGATAGTGAATGCCCTTTTATGTTCAGCCTGCTTCCCAGGCAGCCCAGGAAATATACATATTCCTTATAAACTGTCTTAAAACATTTTAACATGTGCCGATAAAGTTTGCCTTACTTTGCTTGCTAGCGCTCTATGTGGTGCCATGTGTGACAATACAAAGACGTAACCATGCAACTGATGCAAGTCTGCATACATCATGAGCTACACAATTGGGGGCGGAGGAACCGCGGGGGGCAAGGCCTTTGTCCACCCTAGTTTTGAGAAAACACCAAAAGTGCCCTCTCTGAGGTTGGGAAAGGGTATTTTTGTGAGCCGTGAATGGTCAATATTTGTTCGCGTGAAATGCTTGATTTTAGTGTCGTGAAATGTGATTTGCTCTACAGCCGTGAGACGTGATTGTTGATAAAAATGCTCCGTGAAATGAGAATTAAGAATGCCTGTTTCGTCAACTGTGATTATTATAGTGATTATTATGATAAACATGATACGCGATAATCAAATTTATATAATCTCACTCGATTGCACAAGAGTAAAAACTTCGGAGGCCTTTCTCGAGGTTCCTGACGCTGAGGACAAGGTTCCTGACGCTGAGGACAAGGTTCCTGACGCTGAGGACAAGGTTCCTGACGCTGAGGACAAGGTTCCTGACGCTGAGGACAAGGTTCCTGACGCTGAGGACAAGGTTCCTGACGCTGAGGACAAGGTTCCTGACGCTGAGGACAAGGTTCCTGACGCTGAGGACAAGGTTCCTGACGCTGAGGACAAGGTTCCTGACGCTGAGGACAAGGTTCCTGACGCTGAGGACAAGGTTCCTGACGCTGGGGACAAGGTTCCTGACGCTGAGGACACGCACGCAGGTCGTCGTACATTGTCGTCACTCAAACTTGTAAGTTATGATGTAGTTTTTAACTGACTGGTAGAGAAATGAGAGAACTTAATTAACGTAGATGCTGTACCATGCATTAAACATAGTCTTAAATTAATAAACTTATTATTATTATTATATTATTTTATTAGAAAAGAAAACACAAAAAATGCCCTCTCTCCGGTAGCAAAGTGCCCTTTGCCTCCATGAAAATGTTGAAAAATGTTGTTGAAAAATGTTATATGATATTGCAATTAAAGTGCTGCATACAGATCACTGTGGCTAAGACAACTTCGGACTTTCCCTATGTTGGCCCGAAGACCATATTCTATATATTTGTTGATTTTAAAATAGCGGACAAAAGTTGTTGTGTTGCAATCGTGGTTGGGTCGAGCAATATGTGGAAGGCGAAAATAGCGAAGATAAAGAGATTAAAATTGGATTCGCTGTACTGCGTATTTTTGAAATTTTGACCAGAGAAGAATGACACCTGTGACGTCAGTTTCACACGGGACCAGTGCAAAGATTAGATACTATAAAGATGTGTCACTCGACGTATTTCCCTAATGTTTGCGTGTCCGTAATTTTCCGTGCTGATCACGAGTGATCACGCGAGATGACGAGTGCATAACACTTACTGCCAATTTTTCTTAAAGTTAGTAATATTTTGGTTATCTCATGAAATTCAACCAAATACGTCATAACTAACACAACCTGTTATTCAAAAATTCAATGAGAACAGTTACATGTCCATGCCTGCAAAGCTGTACATCCAAATTGTAAGCTGCTGGCCCAAGCTGTCCAGCTGAATCGACGGAATCCTGCTGATCACCACTCACCCTGAGCTGATTGCGGGCTAGGGACCCGGGGCCTGGGCCGATGATTGTGGCGCCATATTTGCATTTTGCACAATTGCAATCAAAAAGTACAAGTGAGAAAGAAAAACATGGAAAAACATAGTTTAAGTGATGGAAAGCATCTTACTGATTTTGTTCTGCTGAGTGTTTTATTGATTTTCAGACCACTTTGGTTGACAGCAGAAATTTAGTAATTTTTTCTACGTTTTGGTAATTTTTTGCATGCTTATTTAGTAATTGCCTTGCAAAATATCTGGTCACACTGAGCTATACTATATTACTGGAGGAGGTGCTCCTATCTCCCTTCAGTCAAACAAGTGTCGCCAAAAACATGGCGGATTTCGTTGGATTTCGGCCTTTGCTGACGCCAGAATGACGCCACTGGTCCCAAATCCTCGTGGTAATTACCACTGAGCAAGGCTCATTTTGAGCCCGCTACCACTTTCACATCCCCCTGATTTTCGCAAAAATATTTTAGCTTTTTGTTTTGGAGTTTGACTCGGTTTTTGCCTTCTCTTCGGCATTTTAACATTTGTTTCGAGTTGCACAAGTGGCAAGAATCATGCTGGCTAGTGAAGACAGGGAACAACGAATATTTAAACCTCAAGAAATTTCGTAAAGACGTTATTTGTAAAGGTAAAAATATACTGTTTATATGTTCAATATTTATTTGTGATAAAGTAGGTCAAAACAAAGCGAAATAAACAGCCTATTTGTACTGTGTAGTGGACAATTTTAGCAACTGATGTATACAATTAAGTTGCCAAAACTATATTAATACGAGAAACAGTCTTTCTCGAAAGAAAATGGTTGAAATTTCAGATTTTAGATTCATTTGTTATTTCAAATTTTACGATATAAAATGCCATTTTTGACCACCATCTGCTTCATGATACTACTTAGTAAATTTAAAGTGCTTTCTATTATATTAGTATACCTATAGAGAAAGACCTTTTTAAGCCAGAACTATCATGACTTTGAATGATTTAATCCATGTACTTAACTGGCCACTGATGGCAATGAAATTATAATGTGTAGAATTATCAAGTCTATCAAGATCCAAAAATTGGCTGTTAAATTCTACCAACTTCTGTTGAAGCTAGTTTCATATATAAGATCAGGTTTAGAGGCCTGTAGCATTTTCCCTAGAAATTGCATGAGTAAAATCAATTTCATAATTAACCCATTGAGCCGCAATGCGCCCTACTTATTTTTTACTTGTAACGCCAGACGATATTATACTCGTCAATGGGTCATGCCAGAAAACATCTATACCACCCCCACGGAGGAAATAGGAAGTTAACCCCCCTACCCCCTTCGGATGTCCTAAATAATTAAATACATTTACTATTATCAGAAACAATTTTTTCTCCCCTCCCCCTCCGGACGGCAGAAATTTCATCAGTGGGGAGAGTATGGATCTTTTCTGGAACGACCCATTGAGGAAGCTCTGCAGCTTAATGGGGTTAAGAAAATGAAACATTCTTGATGATATTTGATGTTGGTAATTCATGCATTTTTGGAGGAAAATATTTTACACAGTGGTTTTCGCCTGACACCGAACCCCAATATTTACATGCTATTTGTCCAAACTATTTTCCTCATTCTTTCAACATGCCAAGGTGATACAAAGTAAATTTCAGTTGAATTCAAACAAGTCCTTGGGCCCTGAGTTGTCAAGACTATCACCTTAATTGTTAGCAGCATGTATCTGCTAAGCCCTGGGTTCAAATGAGTGGAATTTCAAGAGCATTCTGACCAGCTTTGTGCACACAGGTGACCTTACCGGTCAGGATGAGGGCCAGTTAAGTTTACAGTTGGGTGTCGGCAAGGTTCATGTAAAATTGTTAGCAAGAATGTTATGTGTACACAATCATGTGTAATGTCGTATTGGATTAATAGCAGTTAAATGTTGGGATCCAGTATCGAACAATAACCACAACAATTATTATATAAAGTATTTGGTTGTTTTAGTGTAATATTCATTTCTCACATATTTTTTTCAAAAATAAAGTACCATTCAGCAACTTGTTGGGAAAGAGGAGTCACAAACTGTTGATGAATATATTTAATTAACTACATCCACATAAAATACAATTTTATTAACAGTATCTTGATTTATGGGTTATTAGATGACATTATTTTCATAATAAATTATTAATTAAAAATAAAATTAACAAATAAATTACA